TGCATCTGTGTCCATCAAGGATATCAGCCTATAATTTTCTTTTCTTATAGTGTCCTTATCTGTCTTTGTTATAAGTTTAATGCTGGCCTTGTAAAATTAGCTTGAAAGTGTTTCCTCCTTTTCAGTTTTTTGGAAGAGTTTGAGAAAGATTGGCATTAATTATTTATTAAATTCTTGGTAGACTTCACCTGTGAAACCATTAATTTAGGGATTTTTGTTGTTTTTGGCAGGTTTTTGATCACTGACAACAATCTGATTCAATCTTCTTACATGTTATTTGTCTGCTTAAATGTTAGATGTTTTTATTTCTTTATGATTAGGTCTTGCTAGGTGGTACACTCCTAGGAGTTTATTTCTTCAGAGCTATCCAAATTATTGGCATATAATTGTTCATAATACTCTCTTATGATCATTTGTATTTTTGTAAGATTGGCAGTTTATCACAAAACTAAACGAACTCTTACCATGTAATTTGGCAATTGTACTCCTTGCTATTTACTCAAACGAGGTGAGCCATATGTCTGTATAAAAACCTTCACACAGGTATTTATAGCAGCTTTATTTAAAATTGTCAAAACTTAGAAATAATCAAGATGTTCTTCAGTAGGTGAATGAGTAAATAAACTGTGAAACATCCAGAAAAATGGAATGTTATTTAGTGATAAAATGAAATGAGCTATATGTTTTTAAGCCAGAAAAAGATATGGAGAAACCTCAAATGCATATTACTAAGTGAAAGAAGCCAGCCTGAAAGGTTACATACTATATGACATTCTAGCTATGTGCCATTCTGGAAACAACAAAACAATGGATACAGTAAAAAGATTAGTAGTGGTCAGGGTTTAGGATGCTGGGGAGAAGCTATAAATAAGCAGAGCACAGAGGATTTTAGGGTAGTGAAAATACTCTGGATGATACTATAATGGCAGATACATGTTACCATATATTTGCCCAAACCCAAAGAATGTATAATACCAATAGTGAACCCTAATGTAAGCTAAGGATTTTGGTTGATTATGATGTATCATGTGTTCATCAGTCAAAACAAATGTACCACGCTAGGGGGGAATGTTGAAAATGGGGGAGGGTGCTTATGCATGTGTGGGGGCAAGAGGTATATATCCTCACCAACACTTGTTACTTTATGCGTTTTTTAAAAATTCATTATTGCCATCCTAGTGGGTGTGAAGTGGTATCTCATTGTGGTTTAGGTTTGCATTTCTGTAACGACTAATGCTTGTTGGCCATTTGTATCTCTTCTTTCAAAAATGTTTATTCAAATCTTTTGCCCATTTTTTAATTGGGTTTGTTTTTGTTTTTGTTGAGTTGTAAGAGTTTTCATATATTCTAGAGACTAGACCATTATCATATGTATGATCTGCAAATATTTTATCCCATTCTGTAGTTTGTCTTTTCACTTTCTTCATAATATCCTTTGATGCACAATTTTTAAAAAATTTTTATAAAAGCCAATTTATCTATTTTTTTTCTTTTGTCATTTGGACTTTTGGTATCATATCTAAAAATTCATTGCCAAGTCCATGATCAGGAAGATTAACTCTGAGATTTTATTCTGAAATGTTTACAATTTGAGTTCTTATATTTATGTTGTTGATCCCATTTGAGTAAACTTTTATATATGGTATGAGACAGGGGTCCAATTTCACTCTTTTGCACATGAAAATCACAGTTGTGCCAGTCCCATCTGTTGAAAAGACTATTCCTTCCCCACTGAGTGTAATTGGCACTCATGAAAAACTAATTGGCATAGATATATGGGTTTATTTCTAGACTCTTAATTCTATTTCATTTGTCTATATGCCAGTACCACACTGTTTTAATTACTATAGCTTTGTAATAAATTTTGAAATTGAGAAGTGTGAGTCTTCCAACTTTGTTCTTCATTTTAAATATTGTTTTGGCTATTCAGGGCTCCCTGGGATTTTATACAAATTTGAGAACCAGCTTTTCCATTGCTGCAAACAAAAATAACCAATGAAACAAACAAATAAAAAAATTCCTGAAATTTTGGCAGAGATTGTATTAAATCTGTACAGCACATGGTAGTGTTTTCAGCATAATGATATTAAATCTTCTAATCCATGAATGTAGATGTATGTACACATATTTCACTCTTTACTTTCTTTCATCAATGTTTCATCATTTTCAGCATATAAGTCCTTCTCCTCCTTGGTTAAATTATTCTAGATATTTTATTATTGACACTATTATAAATGGAATTATTTCTTAATGATCTTTTCAGATTGTTCATTGTGGATATACAGAAACAACTTTTTAAATATATGTTGGCATTGTATTCTGCAGCTTTGTTGAATTTATTAACTTCAGTAGCTTTTTATAGATCCTTTGGACTTTTCTATATATAGGATTGTCTCATCTGCAAGTAAAGCTAATTTAACTTCTTTCTTTTTCCCTTTTCTTTGTCTTGTTGCTCTGACTAGAACTTTCAGTACAATATTTAATAATACTGGTTAAAAGGGGCATCCTGTTCTTAGAAGGGAGGTTTTTCAGCCTGTCACCACTGAATATGATGTTAGCTGTGGGTTTTAAAAAATAAACATTCTTTATTATGTTTCAGAAGTTATCTTCTATTCCTAGTTTTCTGACAGATTTTAATCATGTAAGGGTGTTGGATTTTGTTAAATGTTTTCTACAAAAATTGAGATGTTCTTCCCTTTTTTTGTAATGTGTTACCTTGATTATTTTTCATATGTGAACCACTCTTGGATTTCTGGGACAAGTCCCACATAATCCTTTAAATATGCTATTGGTTTGGTTTTCCAGTATTTTGTTGAAGAGAGAGTTTTTAAATTTAATTTCTTTATTTTAAAATTTTAGAACTGTGAATAAGGAATTGTGGACTTGTAGTTTCCTATAGTGACTAATCATCATAGCAAAGCAAGATGATCAATGGAGCCACATTAATAAGAAGGAAGTCTTTGGCAGTATGTTCCTGTGTCCTGGTTTTCTGACTGGTTCTCTTTAACCATTTACCAATGACTTGAAGACAAAGAAGGCCTGCTTCTCACACCTGCAACTGACAGAACTGAGAAGGACAACTAATATTTGATGGAGCAAAATAAATATTCCAAAAGGTTCTGACAGCCTGGAATAATCAGGCCAAATTAACATGATACTTTTAAAACCTGGAATCAATATTTTAGGCTCAAGGAAAAGATTGACAAAAAGGATGGGTTGCTGGATTAGCAGCCATTCCCATGAAGAGAGCTGGGATTTAGCTGACTGCAAACCCAGTCTGAGTTGAGCATTCCAAGGCTCCAGAGGAAGATTGCAGGCTGGAGTGGTGCTGACACAATGTTGTGTCCACAATGTACATATGCACATGTGTGGTGTGTGGGGCTTGCTTAGTCCTGCTCTTGGCTCTGCAGGCCAATCCACATCTGGAATATTTATTGCCTTTACTCCGAGTGCCAATTTTTAAGTGACAAACTGGAGCCCATCCAGACAAGAATGACCAGGACAAAGAAAGGGCTCAAAATCATGTTAGGCCAGGAAGTGTTGAAGGAACCAGGGCTGTTGAGCCTAGGGGAGAGAAGATTAAATGGGGATTTCATAGTTGTTTTCAAATCATGTGAAAAGAGAAACAAACAGGGTCTGTATGTTTCCAGAGTGAAGTAGAAACCTAGAGGTGTAGATTGACAAAGGGAGAGATTGGTCTTCTACAGGAAAGATATTTTAAATAGCCAGTGAGATCTGAAATTTCAATGAGTTGGACACATGATGGGTGCCAGAACATTTATCTCTGCCACCCCAACTTCTGGGGAATAACTTCCCACATCCTCATGGCTATTACAGGAATACACTGCAGAATGCACCTGATCCAAGTCAGGCCAAAGAGCTCTGTCCCTGGGATTATGGGATTTGGGAATGAAGAATAGTCGGGTTGCCTGTGGCTGAAGCTCTAAGAGACAAAAGCAGAGAAGAGTTTCTCACCAAAAGGAGAAAGTGAGAAGAGAAGAGAAATGGAAAACAAAGAGCATTGAGTTCTGAATTCCAGATATTCCTGAGTCTCACAATCTTCTTATTCTCCCACAACTCTAACACTCAGCTCGCTCTTGAAGAGTATGAAATATCCTAGTGTCATTCCAAAGGGCAGTCTCTCTTAATTAAACTAGAGTTGAGATGGTTTTTACTTGTCATTTTCAATTCAAAGAACTCTAACTAATACCAGCTGTCACAGGAGGTAGTAAGGTCTCCAATGTTGGAGGTATTTAAGAGAAACAGGTTTACCATCACCTGCCAATAATTCTATTAAGTGAGTGGGAATAAAAATAAAACAGGATTGCTCATGAGTTGATAATTGTTGAAGCTAGGTGATGAGTTTATTATCATATTCTCTCTGCTTTTTTGTATGTTTGACATTTTTCTAAGAAAAAACATGATACAGAGAGGACACAGGCACAGAAAAGTTGAACTAATTCAATAGTTCTCAAACATATCAGAATCCTCTGGGTAGACTGAAACAAAAAAAATCTGTGGCCTTACCCCCGGAAATTTGGTTTCAGTTGATCTGGAATAAAGCTCTCCATATTATTCTGTCATCTAGGTAAAATCACTGTTGGATTAAATAATATTTAAGGGCATCTCAAAATGTAAACTCCACAAGCTCAAGGGTATTAAAGTCTGGAAATGACCAACACCTTCAATTTTAAAATGTGAAAACCAAGCCAGGCACAGTGGCTCACATCTGTAATTCTAGCACTTTGGTAGGCCAAGGTGGGTACATCACTTGAGGTCAGGAGTTTAAGACTAGCCTGGCCAACATGGTGAAACCCTGTCTCTACTAAAGACTCAAAAAAATTAGCTGAGCAGGTGTGGTGGCATATGCCTGTAATCTCAGCTACTCGGGAGGCTGAGACAGAAGAATTGCTTGAACCTGGGAGGCAAAGGTTGTGGTGAGCCAAGATGGCGCCACTGTACTCCAGCCTCGGTAAGTACATCTCAAAAAATATAATATACTGCTCACTTAGGCAGCACATATGCTAAAATTGGAACTATACAGAGAAGATTAGCATGGTCCCTGCACAAGGATGACATGCAAATTCATGAAGCATTCCATATTTTTTCAGATTCACCAGGGTTGAAATGAATGAAAAAATGCTAATGGAAGCCAGAGAGAACAGTTGGGTTACCCACAAAGGGAAGCCCATCAGATTCACAGCAGATCTCTCAGCAGAAACCCTACAAGCCAGAAGACAGTGGGGGCCAATATTCAACACCCTTAAAGAAAAGGAGTTTCAACCCAGAATTTCATATCCAGCCAAACTAAGCTTTATAAGTGAAGGAAAAATAAAATCCTTTATGAACAAGCAAGAACTCAGAGATTTCATCACCACCAGGCCTGCCTTACAAGAGCTCCTGAAAGAAGCACTAAACATAAAAAGGAACAATCAGTACCAGCCACTCCAAAAACATACCAAATGGTAAAGAGTATCAACACAATGAAGAAACTGCATCAACTAATGGGCAAAACAACCAGCTAGCATCAAAATGGCAGGATCAAATTCATACGTAACAATATTAACCTTAAATGTAAATGGGCTAAATACCCAATCAAAAGACACAGACTGGCAAATTGGATAAAATGTCAAAACCCATCTGTGTGCCGTATCCAGGAAACCTATCTCACATGCAAGGATAAACAAAGGCTCAAAATAAAGGGATGGAGGAAGATGAGAGCAAAAAAAAAAAAAAAGCAGGAATTGTAATTCTAGTCTCTAGTCTCTGATAAAATACACTTTAAACCAAAAAAGATCAAAAGAGACAAATAAGGGCATTACATGATGGTAAAAGGATCAATGCAACAAGAAGAGCTAACAATCCTAAATATATATGCACCCAATACAGGAGCACCCAGATACATAAAGCAAGTTCTTAATGACCTACAACGAGACTTAGACTCCCACACAATAATAGTGGGAGACTTTAACACTCCACTGTCAATATCAGACCGATCAATAAGACAGAAAATTAATAAGGAGAGCCAAGACTTGAGCTCAGATTTGGACCAAGCAAACCTAATAGACATTTACAGAACTCTCCGCCCCAAATCCACAGAATATACATTCTTCTCAGCACCACATCACACCTGCTCTAAAATTGACCACATAATTGGAAGTAAATTACTTCTCAGCAAATGCAAAAGAATGGAAATCATAAGAAACAGTCTCTCAGATCACAGTGCAATCAAATTAGAACTCAGAATTCAGAAACTAACTCAGAACTGCACAGCTTCATGGAAACTGAACAACTGGCTCTTGAATGTTGACTGGATGAACAGTAAAATGAAGGCAGAAATAAAGATGTTCTTGGAAACTAACGAGAATGAGGACACAACGTACCAGAATCTCAGGGACACATTTAAAGCAGGGTCTAGAGGAAAATTGATAGCAACAAATGCCCAAATGAGAAGCAAAGAAAGATCTAAAATCAATGCCCTATCATCAAAATTGAAAGTGCTAGAACAGCAAGATCAAAAAAACTCAAAACCTAGCAGAAGTCAAGAAATAACTAAGATCAGAGCAGAACTAAAGGAGATAGAGACATTAAGAAACCCTTCAAAAAATCATTAATCCAGAAGTTGGTTTTTCGAAAAGATCAACAAAATAGCCCACTAGCCAGATTAATAAAAAAGAAAAGAGAGAATAACCAAATAGATGCAATAAAAAATGCTACAGGGGATATCACCACAGATTCCACAGAAATACAAACCACCATCAGAGATTACAAACAACTCTATGCACATAAACTAGTAAACCTGGAAGAAATGGGTAAATTCCTGGACACTTGCACCCTCCCAAGCCTAAACCAGGAAGAAGCTGAAACGCTGAACAGACCAATAACAAGATCTGAAGTTGAGGCAGCAATTAAGAGCCTACCACACAAAAAAAAGCCCAGGTCCAGACAGGTTCACCGCTGAATTCTACCAGATGTACAGAGAGGAGCTGGTACTACTCCTTCTGAAACTATTCCAAACAATCCAAAAAGAGGGAATCCTTCCCAGATCATTTTATGAGACCAATATCTTCCTGATACCAAAACCCGACAGAGACTCAACAAGAAAAGTAAGCTTCAGGCCAATATCCATGATGAACACAGATGCAAAAATCTTCAATAAAATACTGGCAAACCAATTGCAACAGCACATCAAAAAGCTTATCCATCAGGATCAAGTAGGCTTCATCCTGGGGATGCAAGTCTGGTTCAACATATGCAAATCTATAAACAAAATTCACCACATAAACAGAATCAAGGCAAAAACCACATGATTATCTCAATTGATGCAGAGAAGGCATTTGACAAAATTCAACAGCACTTTATGCTAAAAATTCTCAATAAACTAGGTATTGATGGAATGTGTCTCAAAATAATAAAAGCTGTTTATGACAAACCAACAGCCAATATCATACTGAATAGGCAAAATCTGGAAGCATTCCCTTTGAAATCTGGCACTAGGCAAGGATGCCCCTTTCACCACCCTATTCAATATAGTATTGGAAGTTCAAGCCAGAGCAATCAGGCAAGAAAAAGAAATAAAGGGTATTCAATTAGGAAAGGAGGAAGTCAAATCATCTCTATTTGCAGACAACATGATTTTATATTTATAAGACCCCATCATCTCAGCCCAAAATCTCCTGAAACTGATAGGCAACTTCAGCAAAGTCTCAGGATACAAAATCAATGTACAAAAACCACAAGCATTCCTATACACCAATAACAGACTTAAAGAGAGCCAAATCAAGAACGAACTGTCATTCACAATTGCTACAAAGAGAAAATACCTAGGAATACAACTAACAAAGGATGTAAAGGACCTCTTCAAGGAGAACTACAAATCACTGCTCAAGGAAATAAGAGAGGACACAAACAGATGGGAAAACATTCCATGCTCATGGTTAAGAAGAATCAATATCGTGAAAATGGCCATACTGCCCAAAGTAATTTATAGATTTAACACCATCTCCATCAAGCTACCAATGACCTTCTTCACAGAACTGGGAAAAAAACACCCTAAACTTCATATGGAACCAAAAGAGAGCTCACATAGCCAAGTCAATTCTAGGCAAAAAGAACAAAGCTGGAGGCATCATGCTACCTAACTTCAAACTGTATTACAAGGCTACAGTAATCTAAACAGCATGGTACTGGTACCAAAACAGATACATAGACCAATGGAACAGAACAGAAGCCTCGGAAGCAATGCCACACATTTACAACCATCTGATCTTTGACAAACCTGACCAAAACAAGCAATGGGGAAAGAATCCCCTGTTTAAGGAAGGGTATTGGGAAAACTGGCTAGCCATGTGCGGTAAGCAGAAAGTGGACCCCTTCCTGACAACTTACCCTAAAATTAACTCCAGATAAATTAAAGACTTAAACATAAGACCTAACACCATAAAATGCCTAGAAGTAAACCTAGGCAAAACTATTCAAGATATAGGCATAGGCAAGGACTTCATGACTAAAACACCAAAAGCATTGACAACAAAAGCCAAAATAGACAAATGGAATCTAATAAAAACTACAGAGCTTCTGCACAGCAAAAGAATCAATCATTAGAGTGAACTGGCAACCAACAGAATGGGAAAAAATTTTTGCAATCTACCCATCTGACAAAGGACTTATATCCAGAATCTACAAAGAACTAAAACAGATTTGCAAGAAAAAAAAAACCCATTCAGAAGTGGGCAAAGGATATGAACAGACACTTTTCAAAAGAAGGTACATATGAGGCCAGCAAACATATGAGAAAATGCTCATAATCACTGGTCATTAGAGAAATACATATCAAAACCACATTGAGATACCATCTCATGCCAGTTAGAATGGCAATCATTAAAAAATCTGGAGACAACAGATGCTGGAGAGGATGTGGAGAAATAGGAACACTTTTACAATGCTGGTGGGAGTGTAAATTAGTTCAACCATTGTAGAAGACAGTGTGGCAATTCCTCAAGGACCTAGAAATAGAAATTCCATTTGACCCAGCAATCTCATTACTGGGTATATATCCAAAGGATTATAAATTGTTCTATCATAAGGACACATGCACATGAATGTTCATTGCAGCGCTGTTTACAATAGCAAAGACTTGGAACCAACCCAAATGCCCATTGATGATAGATTGGACAGGGAAAATATGGCACATATACACCTTGGAATACTATGCAGCCATAAAAAATGATGAGTTCAGGTCCTTTATAGGGACATGGATGAACCTGGAAACCATCATTCTCAGCAACCAACCCAAGAAAAGAAAATCAAACACTGCATGTTCTCACTCCTAGGTGGGTGTTGAACAATGAGAACACATGGACACAAGGAGGGGAGCATCACACACTGAGATCTGTGGGGGTGGACTAGGGGAGAGACAGTGGGGGTTAGGGAGCTAGGGAGGGATAACATGGGGAGAAATGTCAGATATAGGTGATGGGGATGAAGGCAGCAAACCATATTGCCATGTATGTACCTATGCAACAATCCTGCATGTTCTTCACATGTACCCTAGAACCTAAAATGCAATAATATATAATATATAATACAATATATTATATTATATACAATATATATTATATTATACAATATATTATATTATATACGATATATAATATGTATTATATATATGTATAATATGTATAATACATATTATATATAAAGAAAAAGAAAAAAGCATTCCTACTCATAAATAAATAAATAATAAAATATAAAATAAAATAAAGTAAAATGTGGAGACTGAGATCCAAAGAGATCAAGTGATTAAAGCTAACAGAGTTAGTAAGCGATAGTGGAGAAGCCCAACCAATCCCCTGTTCTCTGTCCTGTCCACTTTGATTTTATAAAATTTTGAAAATCTTGATCGATAAGGTTATATGAAGAAAGTTGACTTTGATCTAGACTGCTTGGCCAAATCCTGTTTTCTCCATTTTTTGTGTCTCAGTTTCCCCAACTGTACCCACTTTATATGGGATTATTATATATCGTAAAACAATGATTAGCATATAACAAATAATGGTTTGCCATTGTTATATTTATGACTTGCATCATACTAGAGAGGAACTGTCA